AGATGTTTCTGCAATGGCTGTAAGTATGAAAACTGGTCATCAGTCACTTTTTTCAATGCCGTCATAACTTTGAACAGTCACTAAATGAGCTATTATAACTCGAAGACCACCTGTATTAAAGGGAAAGTTTGCTCTTTTATGCCTTTGTGGTTCCTCGATTTATAACCGTTGGTTTAGTGACCATTCAGAGTTAACAACAGCACTGAAAAAAGCAAGTTATGACCAATTCTTGCACTTAGAACTGTGGCAGAACCCTGAGGTCACGTGACCCAAATTTGGACGCTTGGCAATGACGCTTATGGCAATTGCAGCATCCTGGGGTCAGGTGATCATCGTTTGGGATCTTCCCAACCCAGCTTCCAACAAGCAAAATCCATGGGATTTGCTTAACAACCCCATGATTCACTTAACAACTGCAGGGACTCTTAAGAACCATGGCAAAAGGATCTTAAAATCAGACGCAACTCACTTGACAGCTGCCCTGCTTAGCAACTGAAATTGTGATTCCCAATTGTTAAGGGTAAGCCAAGGACTTCCTGTAGACCATTCCTGTTTTAGAAGCTAATAAATGGAGGGCATTTTCCCCCCTATGGATCTTCTAGCACACAGTGCCCCCCACCTTGGGGGGGGGGGGGGGGGAACCAGGGCTACGTGAGTGTCAGGCCGATGTGGGTGTATGCCCGCTTAGCTTCACTCACGCTTCTCTGCACCAAAAGCTTTTGCAAAGGGACCGAAGGCCTGAAGCAGCACGAATTTGCTCCCCCGAAGCCTTTCGTCCTTTTGCAAAAACTTTTTGATGTGCAGAAGAGAAGCCTTTGGGGGCGCGATCTTGTGCTTCTTCAGACTCACCGAGGCTGCCCTGGTTGTCACCTGTCAGCCACCGGCCGCTCCAGCGGCCAAATCGGAGGAGGAGGCATGGGAGGCAGGGTCAGCATCAGGGCAACCTAAAAGCTCTTGAGGGGGAAGAGGGAATGGAGCTGTCAGAGAGGGAGGGAGGGAGGGAGAGAGAGAAAGAGAGAGAGAGAGAGAGAGAGAGAGAGAGAATGAACGAACCTCGGCCGGCCGTCAGACCTCAGATGGAGAGTCAACAGCCCCCAGGTCTGGAGGTGGCTGATGAGGAAGAGGAGGAACAGCTGGGCCCAGTGCCTGACGTGCTGGGCCCAGTGCAGAAAGTAGAGGAGAGGAGAGCAGTGGAAATCCATGGGCCGGTCCTTGGGATGGAAGAGCCACTGCTGCAGGCAGCCTTGGTGTTCATTGAAGCTGAGCAGGATATGCTTGTCCAACTCAAAGCTCCCAACTCTACTCTTTTGGAGTGTTGGGAGCAGGCAACTTGGTGGTCTGACTGTGGGAGTGGGACAGGGGAGCTGGGCAACGTGAGGCCAGCTGTCGCATTCGTGCACGCAGATCCACTCACGCAAGAGAGACGTCTTTGGGGTACCACTCCTGCTAGTGTGTGTGTGTATGTGTGTGTGTGTGAGCCCGCCACTCGCATGGCCTGGTTCCAAATAGGCCATGGCTCACTAGTGGGCAGCAGCCCAGGTGGGTTAGTAACCCCTGTTCTAGCACTTCTACTAAGCAGGAAGAGATACATTAAGTCTGAATTTACTTTAATTGCAGGTCCCGTTAAGTGGGACTTCAGCATGACTTCAGCAATGGCAAACCAGGGTTTGGACATAGTTGTCAGATCATGCAATGTTGGTTTTCCGGTTGACTCTGGGAGAGTTAAATTAGCTTGCTTCACCTGACACGATCGGTAAGGAAAAGGTGAGCTCCATAACTTTAATGAGATATCCCAAAGGTGCTTTTTCAAGAGGCAACTGGACTTTCTGGGTTTTTCTTTTTCTTTGAAGACATTTTGCTTCTATTCCAAGAAGCTTCTTCAGCTCTGAGAGCTGAAACAGCTTC